CTGCTCTCCTTCCAGCTCCTTCCTGACAGTTCTCACTTCTAAACCCCAGGCAAAGAGGCAGCTGTGTAGCAGGCTAGGCCTCCCTCCTCTTTCCAGCATAGAGGGCCCGACTCTGTCCCCTCTCCAGTCACTGCTCATCACCCCTCTCTCCGCACGCAGACCTCAGCACTCTTCAAGTGCTCACCAAGAAGGACATGCATCTTAGAACATACCCTCCAGTCGGGCAGTGGCGGCGCACGCCTTTAATCCCAGCCCTCGAGGCAGAGGCAGGCGGATCTCTGTGAGTTTGAGGCCAGCCTGGTCTACAAGAGCTAGTTCCAGGACAGGCTCCAAAGCTACAGAGAAACCCTGTCTCGAAAAAAAAACCCTCTTGGGCCCAGCATTGTGGCCCAGCACTGGACAATGGTGGCCGAGCCACCCAGCCTCTGCATCACCCTCGACCGGTTGTTTTCATCCTTCTTCCCTCCTCCCTCTGTTCTTCCTCTGCTGTTTGGCTGTTGTCCACGCCATTCGCCATCTGACTTCTGTTCACTCTCTTCAGCCCCCTCAAATCTGGTTTTCATCCTACTGCCCCATGGGACCCTCCCATCCAGATAGCTAAGGCCTAGAGGGAGGAGGAGGGAGGGGAGGAGGGGGAGAGAGAGGACTCTAATTCCAAACCCCTGGAGCCATTAGCTGTCATCCAGGCCTGTGTCTTTCACCCATCGACTCTTACCTGTGTGTCCTATCCAACTGTCCGTGTCAGGCCCAGGCAGCCAGTCTCTGCCACTTTCTCTGGGACTCTCATTCATGGACAAACCTGGGAAAGGTTCCCTGCTGTGCTGACCCTTATGTTTCTGACTCTCACTCTGCCCCTCTTTAGCGCCCATCTGTGCATCTTCCCAGCAGCCTGTCCCAGCAGCTCAGCATTGATTCTTCATCTTCCCTGTCATCAAGTCATCAAAACAGCCCCACCTTTATCCCGAGGAAACCAATCTGAACTCTGAGGGTCTACCAAGGAACCAGCCTCGGGTCTGGAGAGGTGACTTGCTTGGGCTAGTGCTTGCTCTGCAAATGTGGAGACCTGAGTTGGAACCCCAGAACCCACCTAATAAAACAGGTTTGGTGGCATGCTCTTGTAATCCCAGCACTGGGAAGGCAGAGTCAGGACGATCCTGGGGTGCAATACCTGGTCAGCCTGCCTCATCCGTGGGTGCTCAGGGTAAGTGAAAGACGCTGGATAGGACCTGAGAGATAGCACTTGGGAAAGACGCTGGACAGGACCTGAGAGATAGCACTCTGAAGCTGACCTCTGGTCGAGAGAGAGAGAGAGAGAGAGAGAGAGAGGGAGGGAGGGAGGGGGAGAGAGAGAGAGAGAGAGAGGGGAGGGGGGGGGAGGGGGGAGGAGGGG